GCGGCGCCGCCGCGGAGGCCGTGAGGGCGGCGGCCCGCCATAAAGGCATGCGGCCTGAGGCCCGAGCCTTTGTTGGGGCCTGGGCCGGAGCCTCGGCTTGGGACGGGAACTCGGCCTGGGACTGGGACTGGGACTGGGGCCCTGGGGTGGGTGTGGCCCAGGAACATCGCCCGCGGGGGGGTCACGACGAACCCGCCGACGCTCTCCGTGAGCTGCCGCTCGCGCCGGCCGCCGTCCATGAAGAGCCGTCGGATGAACTCCCGCCGAAGAGGGCTCGTCAAGGCGGCGCCGTCGCCGCCCAGCGGGGCCACTGCGGTCCCGTAGAGGATCAGGTACGCGAGGAGGATGGACGCACTACGGCTGACGCCCATCCGGCAGTGCACAAGGACGCCGCCGCAGTCGCGCGGATCGAGATCCCGCAGTAGAGGGCTCGCGTCCACGGTGGGGGACCCCTCCTCGACGCACGTCTCGAGAGGGTCTTCCTCAGCCGGCTCGCACGAGTCACCGGAGGGGCACGAAATATCCCCCATCGGCTTATCGGAAAGGGTTGTTGTGGGGATTCGCAAGGTGCCCGATGAAACACCGTTGACGCTCGTATCCCCACGAGGATCATAAGACGGATTATCACCCTCCAGAGTGGGGGTATTTGACATGCAGCCCCTTCCCTCTCGTGCGGACGACAACGACAATGCAAACGGTAGATCACCACCTCCACTTGAAGTCGTACCGTCGCCGCCCTCCGCATCGCTTGATGAACCAACCACGTGAGTGGCACCGCTAAACTTTCGACGAGAGCATCGCTGAAAGGCCCCCGCCTTGTCCTTATGATGCTTCTTGTCCACCTTATAAGAAAAAAACACCTCTCTGCGGTGGAGCTGCTCGTGAATGATACGTGCAAGCGGGAGGAAGAGAGGGCTGATCATCTCGTCCGAGTGGTCTGAGAGAGGGAAGCGTAAGATCCGAATCCCATATTTATCGTATTCGATCGTCGGCTCGATGGCGCACTCATGGGTGATATTGATAATGAGCGAGATTCCATGATAGGATACCGCCTCAAGGTTTGCAGCGTCCGAAGCTGCCCCGAGGAAGAGCCCTGGAATGACTTCAACCGCCGTAAACGACTCAAGCTTGCGCCTCAATGTAGAAGAAAACAAAACCTCATTGGATAAGTCATTTTCACAATTCATGACTTGACTCGAGTTGTGGTTGCTATAATCAGCACAGGAACTATTAGGAGAGTTCATCTTATTGAAATTTGAATCCTCAGCAAGAATACGGCTAGATGTCGAGGAGGAGAAACTGAAACCCGAAAAGGGTGGATAAGCTGAGGGGTGGTGTATATCACACTTGTCAACGAATGCATGCGCGTGCTGTCGCGACAACAAACAACATCCTTGACGTCTCGGTGGCGCGCCACACCCTGGAGTTTCTGTATGCACATCAGAATGAATATTCGAGATGCACGGCAGAGCGATGAATAAATTTTCATGAGGTCCGTTGTGCAAAACACGGCCATTGGGCAAGCGCCTGTTAGGGTGGGAAGCCTCTTTTAAGTCGGCGTTTGCAGAAGCCAATTCACTCTTGTGAAAATATGTCTGCTCTACCGGCAATTTCATTGGAACCTCACCCTTTTCCATATCAAAGTCTTCGGTGGCGACCGTCTCAACAACTTTCAACTCTTGTGATAAGGACTGCAGGACGACATCGATGGAGCCATTGGGGTGCGAGCTGGATTCTATAGAATGGTCACCTCCCAACGGTATCCTTGTTTCTGTAGGAGACCCCAAGCGACCTTTGAGAATAGAATCCTCCATTTTAAGCCCTCTCTGATCAGGTTCTATGCTACTCGTAAGGGAATGAGGATCGCTACTACTGGAGGAAACCGTCGTTGCGCTCACATTTTTGCACTCCATAGAAACGATTGTTGAGTTTATGGGCTCCACTCCCCTATCCACTGCATCACAATTTTCATTCATCTTCAGTACTAAGCTTTGTGAAGATACAAAATTTGAGGATTCGCTGAGAAACTGACCCTGGTCAACTGGAGGATGCCCTAGGGCTTCAGCGGATAATTCACTACGTCCTGCATCCGAGGAAACAACGTGATCGTAAGAAACTGAGCTTGACGGACTAGACATTGCTGTGGGAAAGAAATGGGAAAAAGATGAAAACTTTCTGATGCTGCCGGCACCTCCGCTACGACACTCAGCAGAGTCGTACCGTGGGCTCTTTTCAACCCTTTTCTGGGGCCTTGATCTTCGATTCCTCTTCAGCACCGTAGTACTGCCCGCACCTACACGAGTGATACATCGCTGCCTTTGAAACAAACGACGAGAAGATGATACAACGAGCCTCCGAGAGTCCCCTTTTGTATTGTCGAGGAAATTCGACGCCGAAGGTGTAAAGCCGACCTCCAATCTCGGTTGATGATCACTCGAGGAGCAGCATGGCTGCGTTTGGCTGTCTGAACACTCCAAAGCACTCCTCTGGAATCGGGAGGGGTATAATTTTGGGGCCACATCGTGGTTACGACCAGATCTACCTTCCCTCTTACACCCCATTTCCCTCCTGGTACTATTACACGAAGGGGAAGAGCTGACCTTACTACATACAAAACGATGAGTAGAATGTTCTCCAATACAAATAGCGCCGCTTGTTGTGAGTGACACTGAGGAAGACAAGAGAGGATCCGAGAACACCGTTGAGTATGAATGAGAAGAACCGCGCGTGGGATTTGCTTTCTCCGAATTGCTATTAGTTGTATTATCGCCTTCAGAAATGTTCGGTTCTTGCATTGATTCAACTTCAGAAGTACCTGTGCGTGAGACCCCAGGGTAAACGGAATGGGAAATACATTTTGGTTTGAACCTTGTCGAAGACGGTCGTTGAAGTTGTCGATGCTGCAGCTCCTGTCTGGTTTTGATGCTACTAAAGTTTCGACCGAGTTTCCAAGTGTTTGGTAATGAAATCGATGCGTCCCTAGATTTCGGCATCGAAGCAGCACCGAGTAACTTAATTCAGATGAATACCTCTTGTTCTAACAACTTGCTCCCTTCCAGACCTTCTCAGAGCTTTTACAAAATATTACTACCTTACAACAGACCACCTTTTGCTGAAAAGATGGTCGTGAGAGTTTTCTACAACGTTCAAATGAAGTGAATTAGGCGCGCCACAATTTTACAGAATCCGCACCAAGAATAATAGAAAAAATGCAAGTAAATAACAGAATTCCAAAATGATTGCTTTGCAGTTAAATACAAAAATAGCCTTAAAAATTAACCTAAATATATATTTAACTAAAAAGTATGCTTTCTTGTAGAATGAGCCTAGATCGTTTTCCTTTTTTCTTGATAAAACAATTACTTCAATTCTCACGGGATAAAAGAATAAGGAAAATGAGAAAGTCTGTATACGATGAAGAAAATATTTGATAGGAATGTAACCCCATTCCTTCATCAGATGTACACATTTGTGCATACTTGTCACTAAAATGGCATTAAAGGTAATACTTATTCACTATTTGTTAAACCTATTCTACTTATCTACTTATGGGGGGAAATTAACCAAAAAGACTACTCTTTACAGTAATCCGTTTAGTTTCGTGCAAACAATTGGTTTATTTAAACGCTTTTATAACCTTGACAAAAAGAGCCATACACAGCCTTATTGCTCTTACAGTATTTTAAAAATTTGATTATAATCTCGAATTACGGACACAGACTAACATAACAGTAGAGATGAAAAAAGCATTATTTTTTTCTCCTTTTCTTAACATGTCATTGCATCCAGTTATAGATTTAAACTACAAAAGAAGTAAAAATACTAATACTGAATAAAACTCATTCTTGAGGCGGCACAGTGTGGAACATGTACGCGCACGTACAATGGAATCAAAACGAATGGGTATAATAGACAATAAAAATTCATATGAAGTATAAAAAATCAAGAGGTGCCATTTAAGCAGAACGGAATGGCACTAAAGATTATGCTCCACTTTTCGCTTATGGGATCCATCAGGATATAGATCACACAGATTCCCAAAGCCTTCCTACCCTATTGCGTGCTTGCCACCATCCATTCAAGGGATAAAGAGAGATAAGTTCTGGTAAACGTTGCGCATCATCAGAACTCTTTTTCGACAACAGAACGAAAATTTTTTTTGCATGTTTTTTTTTGTTATATTAGTTCATCCTGCGTAGCGAAGGATGAAAGAATAAGCAAGTAAAGGAAATAGTGCTTGTGCAGGACATGAAAGTAAATTACGACATATATACATATGCATATATGTATATAACTCTAAGAAGGTTTTGATTCTTGTGCAAATATACAATAAACGCACAACTTAATGCAGGCAGTCCAAAATCTAAAAAACGAATTCATGGTGTTTGTCCCTAATTCCATTACGCGCATTCACCCTTTTTTTATTATTATTTGTCCCTCCACGTAAGATGGCTATTTTATCGGATAAGATAATAAAATTTGAATTGAAGTTCCCTAAAGTATGAAGCATTGTAACATGCATTTGCGTTTTCAAAGCAGTTTCATCTCCTACGAAAAAAACAACAAGTATTCCTTTGGAAAATGTTTACCTATCTTCTTACCCACCTTTTTAAAATGCAGGAGTTAGAGCATTAAAAAAATTCCCCCTCAAAAAGAAAAATATTATTCGGACGATATCAGTATTTAGCATATGCATCTTGCTCCTTTTTCTCTTTGAGCAACGATTTATTTAAACCCCTCAAACGATCATAATCATCCGCCTAATCTCTATACAGTCTGTCGACGTACGCATCAGGTTTTGATCTCTTTTTTCCAACACTCCCAACATTCCCCTGCGCGTGCTTTTGGTTTGCACCCATACTGTAGATGACATTACTGTTGCTTCGGCCGCCGTGATTGGGAAAACCTCTTAGCGGTGCACTAGGAAAAAATGCACCCGGGTGTGATGCATGTTCCTGATAATGTTGAGATTCCATCCCTTGATCGGCGCCGCGGTGCGAATATATTGAATACGGTGATATCGATGGTGCGTCCTCGGGATGGCAATACGGATCGCTCTTCTGACAAGCCACAAAATTGGAGCAGCTCATATGACTACTACCATTTCCTTCAGGATAATTGGCGGGCTTGTTTCCTCCGTACTGATCACCATACCTCGATTGTGGTGCCACAACACCAAAAGAGAGGGCCTGCTTTCGCTGAAATGGGAAAGTCCCCTCATTCTGCGTGGGGTTACGCCAGTTCGAGCAGCGCATGTGCGGGATATTGCTGCTTCCGTCGTTCGAATTAGCTGCTGCCATCGATGAAGGCGGATCCGCTGTGGTGCCGCTGGCTGCCGGCACCTTCTGCTGGAGCTTCTGGCGGCTGCTGACGTAATAATAGGGCTGAGCGTTGACGTTGATGCCGCTCCCGGGGGTTGTGGTCTGCTTGGAGGAGTGCAGGAGGTTCACCGTCGAGGTCGCTCCTGGCGCCGTCTCCAGCTCCTGCACGCGGTCGACAATGCCGAACATCCCCGACGAGGCACCCGTGGCGGCAGTGCGGTGGTGACGGAAGTCGACCGTGGTAGATTGGGCTTCGCTCGCAGCCACTAAGCCCGTAGAGGAGGTCCGCTCATCCCTGGCATCGAGGGCGATGGGTGACAACCAGCACGAATTTTCTCTCCCGCTGCGCTGCGAAACCTTCATGAGATCCTCCTCTCGGTATCGCCTCCACCTCTCTTCCTCCGCGTCCCAGTCCCTCTGCTCGAGAGCCGCTTGTTCTTGCTTCTTTCGAAAGGTGTTATCGCAGAGCTCAGTTAACCAAGGTTCGATGCGCACCTTCCAATGATGGCGCCGGTAGGCACCTAAAACACGAGCCTGGGTGATAGCTTCTGTATCCTCCTGCGTTGTCGGTTCCTCGGAAGACCTTTCCGGAGGCTCTGAGCCATGCGTCGGGAGATCAACTTCGTCTTTTTGCAAGTCGTAAGCTTCAACCTCGTCTGGATAGGCAGCCTTAAAAGCGGCAAGCTCCTCTTGGGTTGGATCCCTTATCAGTTCACCTAGAAGCTCGCACATCACGGCATATTCAACCTCCGAAATGTGCATTTCCCAGCTCATTTTTTCAAGGAAAAGTACCTCCAACTTACACATCTCACTAGCCCGGATCCCACCAATCTTACCGTAGTGCGCATTGTTAAAGTAGGTGTCATCTCGCATCTTGATTCCCAACACGATACCGGTGATAAGCAAACGGTGGGCGTTGTAGACCGTAATCAGGTGGCCGCTGTGAAAGCTGTACTTCAGGAGCAGCATCAGCCCACACAGCAGGGCCTCCGCGGAGCATCCGCAGTACCGCACAATGCGGTCCACATACGACTCCACCGACATCGGTGGCATGCAATGTGAGTGGAAGTCGCTCGAGGGGATCGGGCCGCCCTGGTTGAGTCGGCACATGTAGGACACGAAGCGGGTGATCCCGATCCGGGCGAAGGGCACCTCCCGCAACTGCGGCCCCACCGCAGGGGAGGAGCAGAGTGGGGCAGGGCCCCCCCCTATGCCGACTGGGCCGCTGTGCGTCGGCGCCCCGACCGAGGGCTGGGACACACAGGGGTCCTTGCTGACCCGCCGCGGTGGTGTCGCGTGGCTTCGCAGCGTCTCCCTTCTGGCCGTCGTCTCCTCTGTAGTCTCAGTCGTAGCCTCCGCAGTGGGCTGGGACATGCCGTGGGACAGCGGGGGGGCGCGTGGGACGAAACGCGCGCGGTGGCCCACGAGGTGACGCAGTGCCGGTCGCGAGCGTCGCGTCGGGGAGACCGGCTTCGGCCCCTCCCCTGCCGAGATGGAGTCGGCGCCCGCCTCGGCCTGGGCCTCCTCCTCTTCCTCAACCGCCTTCCCGTCGGCGTGGGCGCATGGGTCGCGGTGAAGGTGCTTGCTTGGCGGCTCATGGATTGGGGTGCTGGTGGTGCTCCCGGGGATCCCGAGCGGGACACCCGCCGGGGCCTCCCCGACCGCCCCTTCCTCGTCCCCGGGGGAACATCGAGGGGAAACGTACTCGATGGTAGTGGCTTTTCGCCTCGCAGGGGGGGCAACCCGGTGACTGTAGTTCTCCATCACATCCGCCGACAGGACCGCTTTGGACTGAAGCTGAGGGGGTTGTTCTTCCTCCGTCCCGTTAAAAAAAGCTGGTTGTGCGATCCCCGCCGATTTCGCTTCCTGAGGTAAGGTTTGAAGTACCGCAGCCTCCTGCGTTGGCAAGATCGCAACCTGTGCGCTGGAATCCGATTCACTTCGATTCAAAGAACCGGAGACCGGTGTGGAACTATTGGATGACGCCGTAGTAGTGTTTGTAGAAGTAAGCAAAGTATGATCACAGGTGCTAGTAGACGGATGGTAAACATGCTGATTATGCAATGAAAACAATGAGGGAATACCAGAAGATTGCTGCGACGATCTCGATTTTTGGAAGCTATCCAAAGGGCCTTGTAAGCAAGCAGACTCTAATGGATGGGAACTGGTATGCGAATCAACAGCCATGGGTACCTCGTCAAATGCTACACCAGAAATACCAAAGCGTTTAAAAATATGTTGGGAAGCTTTTACAAACAAATTTGCCTGCACTGATGGCTCGACTAACTCTTGCATCAAATTACTTCGTCACTTCCACCGAATCCCTCAAAGATTCAGGATGTGGAACCCAAATAAGTAGACAAAAAAAAAACAATAGCCTAGTTTTTCTTAGCTACCCTACTTCGACACTGAGAAAAAGAAAGTGGACGAGACGCACGCAAAGGATGAAAAACACATCGTATCTCCGTGCATCCAAATACAGAAGCATTTCCTCGATTTCTTTTTTATTACTCCATCGATGCGCTTCATCCCTCCCCTTCTGTCCTCCATATATAATAAGTGACATTGGAAGGGAGAAAAAAGGTATAAAAATAATAGTAGCAATAAGTTTGCATTATCCGCAATTGTTGTAAACGCTTCTTCTGCCTCTGTTAGGACACAAGATTTTTGTTCTAAAGGTATATTTTTTCCCTCATTCATCTCTTTTAGATCTAAATGCAGGAACAAAGTTCCATCGAAACACTCTAGTTACACCTAAATCTAAAGGTCTCCTGGAGTAACCAAGAGTAAGAGTCAAAGTTCGCATTCGGTGATATATATGTATATATGCATAACGCAATTCAGCCAAGCAAACTTATCCTTTTGCAATGTGTAAAATGATATTATATACCATACAGCCAACCAAGGTGAAAGGAGTTAATTTTTCTAGAAAAAACTTTAGCCTTACTTCTAATGCGCACCTCAAGCTACCTTTGTAGTTGCATCTTTTGAGAAAAGCATGAGCTAGTTTGCATAGTGAAGGTCACCCAAGGCTACGCAAATAGTAATTGAACAGATGAAGATACCAGACACCCCTTCTTTCCAACCCTTTTGGGTCCTTCATTTTTGGCTCTCTTCAGGTCTCACAAAGACAGGTTTTGGTTTTGAAAGCCTCTCCACGGACTGTCGTTGCTCCCTTGCGAGTGCGCCAGTAGGCACCTCCTTTATAATAATATACGGCCGACGATACTCATCAAGATGGAGTTCCTGAACCAAACGATACCCCACCTTGTCAGAAGAAGTTGCGACTGCATTTCCTGTCTTCGTCGTTCGCTGAGTCTCGCTGTCCTCCGTCTCTGTTGGAGGGGGAATCGACAGGACTCGGCGCGCTGCGGGCCGTCCAGGAAGCTCCGCCACGCCCCCTCGGGCACTCGGCGCGCGAGCCCATGGCGACGGTTGCTGAGGATTCTTAACCTTTATGGTAGAATACGCCTCATAAGGCATGCCGTTTGGCACATTCACAACCACCTGTCGAGTCTTATCAGAGGTTTTACGCAGGTTCCCATTTGTAGAGGTAGATTTCTCGCGTAGGCTTTGGTTTCCGGCCGAGTGGTTTGAGACGCTGTGCGCCGTTCGCACCCCGTTCATGGTTTTAAAATGAATAGTAGGAATGTGCGGGCGCAACACGCTGTCATCTACGGATCCCACCCTCCCATTGAGCATAGAGTTGCGTGAGCGCGTAGAAAGATGCCCTCCTAGTGAAGGACTGACCTTTGCTAAATCCTCCGATGTGATAGGTCTGAATTCCCTGCGCATGTCGATCAACGGGATATCAGTGGATTGAGCTGCTTTAGCAGCTGACCCTCTGCCTAAGCTGCTGTCAACCTTGCTAACGTCCGCTCTGGGAGAACCCTTCCGATGCACAACAGAAGATAGCACTTCGTCTACCCATTCCGAACAGAGCTCAACTTTATTATACCCCAAGTTACCTTTCCTACGAGTAGTCCGAGAAGCAATATGAGAAAATGGACTACGCTGGATATTCGCAGTTGCTGTGGGCGTTACTCGAGCTACAGAAGTAGACGCAGCACGTTTCTTGGATCCTGGAATGCTCTTCGCGCGTAGCTCGACTGCACTTGATGCAGTACTCGAGGAGGAAGTTTTCTTTAGAGTTGCCTTAAGATTGACTGGATGATTTTTTCCTCTCAGGTCTCGTTCTGGTAAAGCCGTGGAACCTTCTGGTGATATGAATCTGCCCTTCGCTACTTCTATCGGATGCATAAAGCTGTCGATAGCCCTAGTGGTGTCATGCTGCCCTACTAACACGGATGCTGCTGCATCCAGATGCCCTTTTTGTGGGCGTTTAAACAAGGACGACGAAGTGGCGGAAGGCTTTCCTTGCAAAAAGGCTTGTCGCTCTGCGGCGCCGATCCTGCTAGAGCATTTTGCTCCAGCATCTCTGCTATCACAATGGCCAGCAATGTGCATATCAGGTCTAATTTTATCCATTGGCTGACAAAAGGAATCGATTTCTGCAGCGTCGCGCGCCGTTTCCAAATGCAACAGGGAGGAACGGGAACTCATTCCATAATCCATATTTCGCGACTCTTTTTTATTTCTGCTTCTGGGATAGTTGCGCAAATGTTGGGCTCTATCATCGCCAGTTATCTCCTCGAGCGGCATGCCCTCCCCCTCCGCACCCCGAGCTCGCCCGGACGGTTTGATTCGCGTATCCTCATCACTATCTTTATAACACCGATGTTGGGTGGATCCATCCCTCGGCAGACTAACAGGACTCCCTCCCTCATATGAATGCAAAGATTTTTTCCTAGAATTTCCAGGAAGTGGTGAGGTGAGTTTAGTGTATCCTTCACCCTGTAAATGTGTCTTCCCTCCGCTGTGTACATTATTGCTAGAATCCCCCGCCCTTTTATCATCAGAGCATAAATCCGTGTTGGAGCTCTGAGGTTGTTGCTTCGAGGCCCTTTTCAGGAACCTATCAAGTGCTTTTCCTGCATCCCTAATAAGATCAGGTGAGGCATACCTATTGCTGATGTGCTCGGCATATGTCACTGGATCTGCAGCAGCGGATCCGCAGACATCATCAGCTAAAGGACTGGGTGAAATCAATTGACGTGCGGGGCGCACACTAGTGCAGTAATGGTATGGCGAATCGCAGTGACCCTGAACTGGAATCTCTTCAACGTACGAGCCTCTATTAAATTTAACATCCAGCGGGTGAAATCTACCCCAATCCCTGGGGGATTGCTCTTGTGAAGGCAAGTCCAAAAAGGAAACGGAGGACGCATCCCCGGCACCCGCACCCACACGCCTCGAGCTGACGCTTTGATGCAACGGATCAGACTGCGCGGCGCGCACCGCGGCCTGACCTTGCTCTCGCATAATCTGCCACACATCCCCGTTTTTCGGGACCCCTCGCGGGGCGTCACGAACGTCGACTCCAGGGTAAATCGGGGGCTCCTCCGGTGACGTGGAATGCCGTAAACGACGCTGGGCATAAGGACTGTAGCCCACGCGCTCGTAGAACCCACCACCGATGTTAATATAGCCAAAGGGTCGACGCACCGGCGAGGGCGAAGCGAAGCTGTTCGAAACGGTCGCCTTTGCACCACAGCGCCAGGGGGGGCGTTCGGAACTACCCCTTTGGGGTGTTTCCTGCCCTTGAGGGTGGCTGTCATATTCAGACCAGCGGTTGTGAGAGAAACGGCCTCTTTGCTCCCAATTCTCATCATCATTGTTATCGCTTCCAGCGAAGCTGCTCCGATGTTTATGGTTGCTGGGGGTGCGGCCTCGCGACCGAGTGCTGATGTGGAAGCTGTTGAGTGGGGTTTTACTTTTTCTTTGAACGCGGCCGAGACTCACACGTTCTGCAGCCTTTCCACTTTCGAGCTCCTTTAACATATGATAGAGATGGTACAAATCGCTGCTCTTGAAGTTCGACAAGGGCGATGACCTCCTGCGACTCAGAGCCTTCTCCTTGATACCCTCATCGCTCAGTAAGGTTGTAGAAGAAACAAGCTCATCTGCGGCTAGGTCGTCAAACTTCTCACTTGACGTTCTGCTACTTTCTATTGATTTCCTCTGGTTCTGGGGGTGCTTAACAGGCTGACCGCTTTTAGCAGCTGCGGTATCTTTCTCCCTTTGCTCAACCGTGTTTTCTGAACCATCTATGTTAGACAACACGGAGGATGAGGAATGGACGGCAGAAGGCTTAGTCTGAGAATTGAACCTTTTGGGATCCTTTCGACGAGGCGGAGCGATGCCCTTGTTGGTCCTAGTAGGGACAGTTGAGACAGTATTCTTGCGTTTCGATACTAATGAAGGTCTCACCGCGTCTGAAAAATTCCTCTTTCCAGCTTTTGTGGAGTCTGAAGAAACATCAGCACTCTTAGACCTGAGACGATCACTTACCCTTGAATTACTTCCAGACTTTGAGCCCGAGGGTGGGCGGCTGGTTGACGAAATTGAAGGTGGGGGGCGTTCCGGAGTAGAAATCTTAGGCTGATCTACACTTTCAACTGCCACAACTGGAGGCTCTCTAGGTTCAACGGGAATCTCCAATTCTCTAAAATGCGGGCTGTCATTAACAGTCGACAACATTCTATCCTCACCTTCAGTCGCCACAACCTCGACAGCAACTTCATGATCCGTCTCTTTAGCATCAATCGCATCTCCGGTTTGCGGGAGCTCGTCTGCTACCGCTGCGAGAGGGCCTTCTACTACCTCATTCGGCAACGCATCCGCACCTGAATGAGCTTCCTCTCCGGCTCCTGCTCCATCCCCACCGGTATTTTCGTTTTTACCTTCGCTAGGTACATCTTCATCAGTGTCGTCGTCACTATCGATTAAAAGATGGGCAAAACGAGAAGGTTTCTGTGTACGAATCCGTATAGGTGGCTTTGGCAGCGGCTCTTCCTTGGTCTGATTGGTCTCCAAGGAACCTTCGTCTGGAGCTGTGCTACCACTCACCCCCTGTACCAGACCCGTGGAATTGCTGCCGACAACGGGATCGGTCCCAACCCTACCAGCAGGCTGCTGTAACAACGTCTTCTGAGGATTTTGGACCGGAAAAAGAATCTCCGGTGAGTCTTTTCGGACACCTGGCGCTGTCGAGGGTTTTAACTCCAGGCCCATGGGCACCAATTCCGGCACAGCGGGAGGCTGGTTTGGAATAGATGAGCTGCCAGGCTGTTTGCCGCCTGACTGGCCAGAAGACGCAATGCTCTGCATAGAACTCCTCTCCGGAGACATACCATTTCTCTTTGGCACTGATATTACGAGTTCATCAGAAATAGACAAGGGAAAATGTGCTTTACCACGTGCCAACGACGGGGGTACAATATGAGAAGACTGACTAGAAACTTCAGAAGGGGCCTTATTCGATGAGACCAAATGAGCCGCTTTGCTGGCACTATCATTTGGGAAAGGGTTGGGAGGTGGTGGAAACGAAACCCCCCCTGATCTTTTTGGAGGGAACTGTGTTTGACTATTGCTCCCATCAACGCTCATATTTCGAGAATCGAATCCTAATAAGGAGGTTGTGCCTCGGTCAGTCAGAGTTGTCAGCGCTGAAGAGGTGTGTAGTTGCTGTGAATGAGGCGGCTGTAAAATTCCAGGAGGCCTTTTCATGTGAGCATCACCAGAAACAGGAGCCCACACTATACCTTTTTGACCTCCAACACTCTTACTGGGTGCATGAGGCATTGGAAGCTGGGGCGACTGCACGATGATTTTGCCTCCCTTAACATTCATCATATTAGGTGGAAAAGGGAGTTGGTTTAGCGCCATCATCTTCTTCCCACCTAGAAAGGGTCCAGGCGGCTGAGCTGGTGGCCAATTTGTGGGGCCACCGGCGGGCGGAACACTCTTCGCAAAGAACGGAGGAGGGGTACTACCGCTGCCACCATGAACTATAGCCGAGCCCAATGGAGGGTGTTGAGGGGCAACTTTTGATCCTATGGGTGGGGCTACACCACCACCATGAATACCAGAGCCCATCGCTTGTGGCCATGGGGGTATTGGTGGGGGACTACTATTTGCATTTATCGTACCGGTTGGTACCTGCTTTATACTACTCGTTGAATTCAGGAGCCTACTATTCCCAGAACGAACAGAAGCTGCGGACATGGCTTCTTCTCTTACGACGATGTTACGCGGGAATGCCGAAAAGGTGTAATTCAGCAATTAGTAGAACTTATTTTCTCAGCTTCTGTAGTTAACTACCTCTTGGTAAACCTATTATTGTCCCTTTGTGAATTATCTTGAGTTTTTCATCATTATGAGTGATACATATAAATAAATCAATATATATATATATATATATATAGAGAGAGAGAGAGAGAGAGAGAGAGACAGAGAGAGACAGAGAAAGAATTGAGAAGGACTTAAATTTGAGGAGCACCAATAAAAACAGTAGCTAATTTTCACCATTTTCATTAGTTTTATTTCTGTCTAAAATTTTTGAATCTCCCTTCATCCATTCACTCCGTCAAGACTACATGAATTGTGCCGCTATCTGAGATGGGAAACCGTCAACTCGAGATATTTGAACACATGGTAATGTTAATGACGAAGGAAGAGAAAGAAGCCATGTAAAAAAGACAGAAATACAACAATTATGTTTTTGCATCGCATGACCATTGCCCAGTCTCGAAAATAAGTTGCTTAGCACAAATCTCCGATAATAGACAACAAATACAGTATATATATATATATATATAAAGATCTTTTCTAACACACGCGTCTAATACAACCTCAGGGGTATAAATTATCAGGCTCCTTTTCGCGTGGTCTTTGCCTAACGGGGTACCCAACCTTCGCCAGCTTTTCCAAATAAATTGCACGCATATCCATGTTATTCTGAACATCCTGGTCTGCAAAAGAACTCTGAAGGTTAGAAGATGGAATCAGTCTTTCGCTCTCTTTGGCACTCTCCTCATCAGCAAAATGCACACGGCGCACCAAGCGCGCGTCATTTGTGCTCCTACCACCTACTTCAGTATTAAGCTCCTCCTTTGTCTGCCTAGGTTTTGGGATAGTGGTGTCTACAACCATGCTACCACTTTGTGTGCTCTCTAAGGATTTGGATGCAACTTCAATGTTCGTAGCTTGCGTGAGCTGCGGTCTGCTATCAGCGTCAAATAATACCCCCTTGTTAATGTTGCGACCTCCTCCCATAATATCCCGATCCATAGCTGAGCTGTGCGTGGTTGGACCTGACGCGGTAGAAGTCGTCTTTAGGTACGCATGAGACTTGCCAATAATAGAGTAAGTCGGGGCGCCACTGTTACCTTGTATCAGTATCTGAGGACGGTAGTACTCGCCAGGCCCTGGCGTGGGGGCGACCTCGCGCCCCTGGGTGGAATCCATACGGGGAGCTCTAGGAAAAGATATGGAAGGACCCGGATTAGGGGGTTGACTCTCCACATGAAGCGAATGGTACAAACCCGGACCTGGCAACGATTCAACATCCCGAGAGGCTCCTTTTTCGGTGATCTTCCCAGCATTGAAAAGAGGTTGATGCGAGTGATAAAAGGAGTAGGCAGGTCCAGAGGTTGGTACATGCACGTCGTAGGTGCCAGGACCTACACCACTGTTATCCTTGCTAAAACCCCTCTCAACCCCAGCGGCACCCGCAGTCGTAGCTCGAGAGCTAACGCCAAACCCCGCTGCTGGCCCCGAGGGTTGGGGCGATAACACGTAATGACCTGGTCCAGGCGTCTCCGCTCCACCCCCCATACGAGTGTTCCATAAATCTCCACGGCCTACGATGGAGAAGGCAGGTACCGGCCCACGCAGGTGGGCCAAGGCGCTCGCGGCGTCATAGCTGCCAGGTCCAGGGGCGTCGCTGCCCGGCTCCAACTCCCGGGCTGCCGCTCTACCAGTCATGCTAAACGCGGGAGCTTCATTTCCGATGTGATGTTGTTTCGTGTCATAAGAACCCGGTCCGGGGGTATCACTTATGATGCTCTCATAGCGCCCGTAAAAAGTAGCTGCACGGCTTCCTGGCTCCCCTACAGTGCGATAGTTTAGCACATCATAGTGTCCGGGGCCTGGAAGCGAAGTCTTCTTCTCGGTGAGGTTATCATCATGTGAACCATCAACAGCGTCCTCGCTACGACGTGGTATCATACTAAATGCAGGCGCACGCCTCAATGTTGCCTTTGCGGCCTCCTCAACATCGTAAGACCCGGGCCCAGGCAAGCTTGCGGCCGAAACAGCCTCCGGATGATCACCAATCCCATTGCTTGATTGGGGATTTTTACCCTCCTGAAAGCGCAAGGCTTTGCCGAAGGAACAGGCTGGTGCACGCAACATCAGAGGTATATCATACCAGCCAGGACTACCCTGCGCCTCGCCACTAGAGGATTCCTTCTGGAGTTCATGTGGGAAGCGCTCAGACTGAGAAAAGGACGGGCCGGCCTCTTCTGCAGAGATCCCTCCCTTCCTCACCACAGAGGCGTCGTAATACCCGGGACCTGGCGTAGAATTCTTCCCCTCTGCCTCCTCTCCGATACCGAATCGAGCAGCAGTATACTTGAGTGCGATGCCGCCCTTCGCGACAGATGCAGGGGGTAAATAATCTTGAACATTGTAATGTCCAGGGCCAGGTGATGGCTCACAGGTTAACACTGAAACAGGTGGTTGGTGACCTTCGCTGGTGATTTTACGCTCAGCTTTCGAAAAAGCGGGTGATGGCCCTGTACCAATTCCCCCGATTGAAGACGCCTTTGGTGAATAAGTTCCCGGACCAGGCATCGGATGCGTAGAGGCGCCAGTAAGCTCCGATTTTTCGCCTTTTTTATCGGCGCCCCCTTCATCGTTGAAGCGCGGAGCCCTGGGTACCATCGGAGCGAAGTTGGCTTGCATCACAGCAGCAACATCATAGGCCCCTGGGCCTGGAATTCCTTTCTGTTCTCTTAGATCTACCCAGAATCGTCGCTCATCATTGGAGCTAATCGTTATGGCGGGCCCTCGAGCCGATGCAATCACATCATAACTTCCCGGGCCAGGCACCCCTGACGAACCCTCTGCTGCCCTCCCGCCCTCGTCAGTACCTTTCGGAAAAACTTCGTCTGCTGTTGGAGACACCAACCCAATCCCACGGTGGGTTGGCGCCGTACCAAAGCGATGCTGCGGCCCAGACGGAAAGGCTGGTGGAATAGAGTACGAGCCAGGCCCCAACGACTGCCCTGTGTTGCTGCCCCCCCTTCGGGTAGCCTCATGTGCGGGGATCAAAGGATCCTCAGCCGACCCAGGGGGAGAGTGGAACCGATCGGCGGCCCCAAACGTATACACGGGAAAGGATGGGCGCGTCAAGTAAACACCATCGATGGGTTGGTAGTCACCTGGTCCCGGTGTCACCTCCGTGGAAACCATCGGAGTCTTGTGAATACCTTCTCTTTCCCCCGACGTGAGCTCAGTTGTGCGAACCATGTCTCGGGCTGTAGAGGCAGAAGGAAAGGTATAAGCTGGTGCAGTGCGTGTTGTGAGACGAACGGCACCAGAGGAACCCACATCGTAAGAGCCCGGCCCGACAGTCTCATGGTGGTCCGGGTTACCATTCAATTTTGCACCCCTTTCTGAATCTTCAGGGAAACGTGAGGCAGTAAAAAAACTGTGGGCTGGCTGCCCGGAATGCTGGATAGAGACACCTGTGTCATACTCACCGGGCCCTGGGATGTTATCCGCAGCGTTAAAAACACTCCTCCCAGAAGGGCTTCCCTCATGAACACGAGCAGCACCGAACCCAAAAGCTGGCAAACGCGTTTCAACGTGGGCGTAGTCAGGTTGATAGTAGCCAGGGCCTGGAACATTTTCGGGCTCTCCGCCCGTCAACATACCTCGATTTCCGGCATGAACACCACGATCCTCTGTGAATCGCTTTTGCGTCCCCATAAAGGCGCCAGGGCTACCGCTACCAAAGGCAGCACTGTCAGCCAAGTCGTACGCCCCAGGCCCCGGGACGCTGTTGGTGTAGTTCGCGTCTGGCGCGCCTTCCAGAACGTTACGCGAACTGGGTGCGGTGCTAAAACTAACAGGACCACGAATATGCTGAAGCGCATCAGCCTCAGTGGGATGATACGAAATATGATGTCCATCACGTGTCAAGTAAACCTCATAGGCCCCCGGGCCTGGTGTGATGGTCTCGTTTTCCGCTCCCTCATTTCTACATGCTTGTTCGCTGATTTTGCGTGGTGCGGTACCGATCACGGTACCCCTCTGGTGTGCCTCTACATCAACAAACATAGGGCTATAAGTGCCTGGACCCACTTCATTATTCGCACTACTACTGTTGGGATAGTGCTCCTGAGTAGCTAAGCTGCGCGATGCTTGCGAAAAGGTCGTTCGCGGGTACGTTGGAATGTTGGAAAACAAGTTTGGATCATACGAACCTGGCCCAGCTCTTTCTCCACTCTGGTTCTCATGGTTTTCATTCCTATCCACCGGACCCGTATCCAAAATACCTCGACTTGGTGCCCCTGCAAAAATGATAGATCGTGGTGACGTATCAAGCAAGGTGTATTGGGGATCATAGCTACCCGGGCCAGGAAGTCCTCCGCCATCCCCACTTTCACCTATTCGATCTCCTCGAGGAGCAGTGCCAAATACAGCTCCACGATTCGAAACAGCAACCGCAGTGCCCTTCAAGTCTGATCGCTGGTCGTACAGCACATCATAGGCTCCCGCCCCAGGAATAGAGCCCTTGGATTTTTCATCTAATAAGTCCTGACTGAATCGTGGGGCCCTACTCAGTGAAGGACCCATAAAAACATTTTGTTGAGACGACCGCGGCGGTAAATAATACGCATCGGGGCCTGGAACTCTGAAGTCATCCGCGTTGGAACCGTCACGCTTCGCCGCTGAAAAAGACCGTGCCGAACGATTGAAAAAGCAAACCGGACCTACCGGGGATAGTTCGGGTAACTCATACGAGCCGGGCCCGGGAAGGTCCCCTTCGAGATGACCAGAGCTGCCTGTATTCGACACAAGGAGCCCCTGACGAACGGTACTACCAATGACCGCGCTTGGACGATTTGCCATTGTGACAACGGAGTCGAGCTCGTACGTACCAGGGCCTGGAAAATTCCCTGACGTTTCCTCAGACTGGACGAAAATATGCGGCCTGGGTGCCTTAGCGATAAAGCCAGCGATAGGTTTCGCGGTCCCCTCCACGGCATAGCTGCCCGGTCCTGGGACGCTGTCAGCGGCGCCTCCTTCACTACGCGGAACGGCATCGCCATCGCCCGGCGCGTTGCAGACGGTGGTGGTTGGTCTATGGGAACGTGGGGCCTTGCCAAAGCTATATCCCTTAAAACAACGTTGCTGGGTTGTGTAAAGCGGCATGTACTCACCGGGGCCAGGGCTAGCTGAATCACAAGCGTCATAGGGAAAGTTATTTGCCCTGTTAATCGCATGAAGAAGACTACTGTCCCCGTGGGGACCTCTAGAGCTGTTCGGCAGTCTCTGACGAGCATCGTGGAAGCGCTGCGACCTAATGGTACACTGTGGTGAGCTTCTATGCTGTGATGTCATAAAATGAGCCCCCATTGTATCGTGGTGGTTTGGCCCTGGTAAGGGCAGTGGAGTGTGAACCCATGGGGATAAAGAAGAGTCTTGCTGTGATAGTGGAGACTTCATGGCATCTCGCAGCAACGGAGATGCTGCCCTTGAAAGTCCCGAGAAACTATAGCTTGGAGGTTTAGGGCGCACACATCGATCTGCCACATCAAGAGCGTAGCTTCCCGGACCAGGGACTTCACCCATTCTATTGGAATTCGCCATAACGCCTATTACAGCAGTGTTGTCAGGCAACGGAGACGTGCTTCTAGCAGAGCTAGTTCCCAATACAGCACACCGCCCTGAAGCACCGATTTCATCTCCTGTTCGTACGTCATAATCTGCTGGTCCAGGAGCAATGCTACCTTTTAGATCGCAGGGCATCACTGATGTGGTATTCGAAGTGGTGGTTAATCCTTGAGTCCTGCACCCTAATGCTGATGCCTCTGATAGAGGCGGTGGGATGGAGTAGGAAGACCTCCCAAAAGAATACGCAGGAGCACTGGTATGGCGCGCCTCTAGGCGTCCCGCCGTTTCAGTCGAATACTGGCCTGGGCCGGGTGTCGCATTTCTGTCGTTGTGGTCTGCTTCCAGTGGGTATGTGCCGGGCTGGTAGCGCAGAACCCGCGGACTTTTTGAGAGGAAGGATGCAGAAGACACGGTCATTGCCACTGGTGATGCTTTTCGTTCTTCACTCCTGCTCCCCTCATTCACAAGAGGTGTTCCACCTGATGAAAGAATATCATATGTACCAGGGCCGGGGGTTTCAGTGTTTGTTGCCACGACCTCAAGAGTCCGCCGCGGAGCTTTTCCAAAGCTTACTTGTCGAGGCTCGAGATTTGCAGAACTTCGTGCGTAGGCTGACAGAACATCATAGGCACCTGGTCCTGGTGATGTCGCGCGCTGACGACGAGAGGTACAACGACTGCGGCTGAGCGAGCGGCCTCGTTCGACTGATTCATGGTTTGGTTCTTTTTTCTTGTCTGTGGATGTATCCGTGGCTTTGGTACATGGAGACTCGGGAGAAAGTATGGAGAACGTGGGTGAATTTTGGTGAGTGTCTGTGCTTTCCTCCTTATTGCGTACAACCGTCTCCGACGACTCCTTGTCGACTGAATTCGACTGTGTTGTAGAATTAGCGCTACCATCCTCTGGGACCGCCACCAAAAGGGGAGTCTCTACAATTTTGTCGACAGTTCGAGGTCTTTTAGAGGATCCATCCTCTTTTTGCCGGGACCTTCCCGAAGCTCGGGACCTCTGGCGTGATGCGGGCAGAGGTGATGACGAAGACGAACTGCTGCTGCCACTTACACTTCCCGCACTCGAAATTTTATCAAATATCATGCGACGCTTCGCTGCCCCGAAAATCGCGGATCGAGGAGTGCTGCGTACAGCAGCTGCCGTGGTCTGCTTGCGCACCCGCAGTTCCTTAGTCTTTGTGCAGGCCTCTCTGCCTGGCCGGCCTCGATCTGCTGAGGAGATAGGGGCTCCATGTTTCCTGCATTGGGTATAGCACTCATGGGGGTTCCTTTCATGATCTCTACCCAACTCACTCTTGCCATTAAACGAAGACGAGCGGGAGCGTGCTGCGCCAGCTATGAAGCTCTCCTCAGACGTTTCTTCAGAAGACATGACTGCCGCCTCATATTCGGATTGCTTGTCGTGGCATGGACACGTCGGTGCATGTGAAGCCGGATTGATAGGCATCCCCAGCTCAGGGAATTGATTCCAGTAGCATGAGCACAGGCTTATGAATCGGGAGCGTAGGGCCTCCTCTCTCAGATTGCTCTTCCTTCGACTCCTTTCTGTGCTTGCTGATAGGCTCTTGTTCGCGAGAGGTGAAGATGATTTGGGGCGCTTGAGCCTAGAGTCGTTGCTGATGTTAATGTGAGACCGAGAAGCACCTGACGTAAAGTTTGGGGAAGACTCAAGACACCTGTTGCTTAAGTCACGTGAAGCAGAAATCATAGCAGCGCCGGCCTCTGGACGAAGAAAGGAAGAGGAGCCCGTGCGTGTGCAAGAGAGCGTGTCGTTCCTATTCTCTGGATTATCCTTGACTTCTCCCTTGAGTAAATTCCCCTCGCATGGTCCCTGTCCCGGATCACGCAAGACACTATTGTGAATATCTACGGTGAGCGATTTTACCGCTTCATCATTTTTCCGTGAATATAAAAACTCATGGTTGCCCTCTCTGGGAACCCTAATCTTATTTTCAGGCGATGTCAATGGCGACCGTCTCGCACTGCACTCACTAGCAAGCCGCCGGTGTTGACATCTACATGGTATCTCACTTTTTTTCGTTATTCTATGTGATAGATCATGCGGACAGCAGTCACAACGCCCGTATCCCCCATTTTCCACGATAATTCGGCTGTCATCCTGGTGAAAATTACCTTCATACACACGCTCTTTGAAGGTTGGCGTGTGTTTCTCACTAATTAATTGAGTCTTGACCTTTACCGGGTCTGCTTCTCTGGCATGAGATGGGGTAAGGTAATCGTTTTTATTGTACACTAAATCGGTCTTAGTGGCAGCTCGTATCTGATTGGATGGATCCCGCAAATTTGTCTGCGAATTTCCTTTAGATATCGTTTGTGCTTTGCTTTCTTTATTTGTATGGTTGTGAGCGGCACAGTGCTCGAGCCACGCCAGAGAAGATGATGTGAATGGGTGCCTTTCAGCAAGATTGTCTGTGTTGAGCAATAGGTGATTCACCCTTTCGGGTTCAGCTGTGCACAATTTAGTTCTATCAGCAAGATAGATGCGTTTTTTTTTCCTCGACATTTGAGGTTCATGCAAAGAACGTGTGGTGGCACTTATTCCTTTGTGATGTTTATTCGTCTCAAGATCATAAGAAGCTAAAGATCTAGTACAGTTTTTGCATTTCGTACCAGCTGCACAGACTGAGGGCGACGAAAGACTAGCATGATGGTCCCACGGAAAGGAGAGTTGCAATGACGACGACAGTGGTCCGTCATGATTTAGCGTTTGTAACGGCATAAGAGTCTATGGTGATCTATGTTTCAAATTGTTTCTTTTGAATATGCTTTTTGAGCCCCTCTTATAGCTCTTCGGAAGGAAAAAACGAGAGTCCAGACAAATATAAATTATACTCATTATTTACCATCATCAGTATGTATTTCTCAAGATCCTATAAATGATTGATAAACAATATCTCAATTAGAGAAACCACGGCATAAGGAATGCAAGAAATCTAGGGTCTTTTCTCCAGACTTGGTAGTCTCTCGACACAAGAGAACACAGGAAAAGTTTACAGGCCACCCTTTAAGAATTTTGCCAAAAGTTAAAAGCCTGAGTGAGAAGTTCTTATGAACCCTTTTTTTTTTGACATTATCATTGGAAAATAAAGCCAGGACTTCCTAAAATGGCACTGGTGAAAATAATTTTGTGTATTTCTAATGTATTCTGTGAAAGGACATATAAAATATAATAATGTAATAACGTAAAAAAGAAGAAAAGCACTCAATCAGATTTGATACATGTTAGAGAAAAGAGAATATTTATATTGAATAGAGTGTGATTGCCTTCGCAACCGTAACTAGTTGCACAAAAAGTATCATTGTCCAACAATGGGGCGAAAACTATGCCGAATGGACGAGCTAAAGAGAAACAGGAATTTCCAAACTGATGTAGTTCCTAATGATATCCACATTTTTCGTGCCCTCAGCGGTTAGTAACCAACCAACATGCTGAAGCTCAATAAGCACTGCACCAGCGGATTCAAGCCTTAGAAATCTAAAAAAACGACTATTGCTAACAAAACGAATACCTTGATCCGTTGATGAGTTCCTGCCAGATAACAAGATCCTCTACTAACGTGTCAAGTCGGAGGATCCACTACACCCTTGTAACAAAAGTTATAAATAAGAATGTCGATTAGGGATTCCATATCCACAGGTTTACAGTAATCCATTCTATTCTTTTGTCTTGCCTACAATACCCTCTACTAACGTATGTAGGGGGTTCGTTCTGATCGCGTTACCTAACACCACATTCAGACTGGACAAATAAGGAGAACCCCTTTTCCCCCTTATGACAGATACGGCGACCTTTGCTCAGAATTTTTAGGAAACTATTAAAAGGAGATAAAATGTAAAACGATAGTTTTTTTTTTGCTTACATCTTTTGTCGTAAAACATACCCTCACACATCTTGCCGCTTGCTTGCCTACGTAGATATGAAGTTGGTCTTCGAGGTTTTATTTCAAGTGGACCTCTACAAGGGCACTACAAGCTGCCGCAACAAAAACCTCAAAAATTTCGAGTTCATTTAAATGGATTAGATTCGCCTTGGATCTAGGCATCGAAAATATCCATGCTGTAATGAATTCGAGCTTTTCGTTTTGTAATTAAAAAAAATCTTCGAGAATAAGCTTACGGTTTTGAAGATGCAGAACAGGGCGTTACAACCCGCTGTCGGTTAGCTACGATTTATTAATCCCAATAATGCAGAATGATTGCTGAAAGTGGCATTGCATTATTCATTCGGACTTCATTAAAGACCGTCAAGGTTACCAGAATATGGGAAGGAACACATCCAAGGACTCCTCCGAACCCGATCAGAGGAAGTGGGAAAGTGCCTAATGGGCCCTTGGATTCTCTTCATTATACGAACTTTCATCGTGAGACAAAATGCTATAGTCTGACGCCCCTCAAAAGGGAAAAAGAATCATGAATTCAAAGTAATCTGCGAATCAGTGTGGAATGTTTTTGGAACTAATCTTAATCCCCAAGATTAATAGATGAGACGCAAGAAGAGATCCACGTATAGAATATGGAAGTAATGAAATGCATAGGTTTGAACAAATGTATACATATACTAAAACGTATAACGTTTTCAAAAGTAGCCCCAAGCAAAAGCCCGATGTAAAGCCTCTAAAAGAGAATGAAAGTAATAAAAAACAAAAAATATGTGAAAACTTGTGGAAATTCATCTTGAAACTCCTTTTTACACTAATTCGACATCATCTACATCTCCGAAAAGTTTGATTCACTTTGTCATTTTTGATGTCCTACAGGAATTACGACAAAATGAATGTTCGTACGCAGAGGGAAAAAATAGGGAAAAATGATAAGTAATTCCTGCATCGCTTGTAAAATATCGTTTCCCGGAACAAAAAACTTTCCAAGTCGTGTTAGTGTTAATTATCTTACGTATAATTTTCATAAGAGACATATCTTGAAACTTGCTAGTTCCTATCCCCGTAGAATGAAAAGAATATGCAGGGCGGCAGATGAAGCCCCACCCCACCACCCCTACCCTTAGCTAATCCAGCTTCACTCCCGCATTTGACACCAAACTCCATCTTTTTATTTCCTTGAGCTGGTCGGCTCCGAGACATTCTCGGTACCATTTTCCGGCAGAGTTTGGTAGAATTGGGGAACGTACACGGGAGAATAACCTTGCATCTCGTGGTCTGTTTCGTCCTGATGTGGCCCCAACTCTTTCCCCGTCTTTCGAACCGGCGTCTCGTGATCCACCCTACGGCCACCGCCACCACCGTCAATCAGGCTCGATTGTTTGGAGTGGGGCGTGAAATACTTCTCGGATTCAGCAACCACACTGACGCTGGTGGCATCCGAATTGGCCATCCAACCTGGCGGTGAACAAGAAATGTGCTGTTTTTCCTCTTCAATGCCGAGATCCATCCCGCCACCGGTCACTTCGATAGTCTCACCTCCCCCACCACCATTCCATCGACGCAATCGCCACGCCCGCCGCCCGCGCTGGTGGGAGTATAGGTAAAGACGGACGGCAGACAAAAAAGGGGTGAAGGGACGCCGCGGCATCCTTATAGGAGGGGACCCCACGTCAGCCCAGTCCGTCTTTTTCTCAACCCGATTCCTCCTCCCTTTTTCACCTCCCTTGATGGAGCCCGCGTCGCGCCGTGGTCGAGGAGAAGGGGCGTAGAGGTCAGTGGGAACAGGCCGGCCGAGCCCTCGAGCCCCGCCTTGGCAGGGCCGCTGGAGGTGCTCGAAGAGCGAAAGAAGTCCCCAATAGGCGTAGGGCTCCGCTGTCTGTGGCGAACAGGCCGCACAAGACGAGCGCGGGGGCTGCGGATCGGTCGTGTGGGGCAAGTTGGACGGCGGTGCGAGAGAAAATGATGAGCTGAGGCCCCTCCTCCCTATCGATGCACTACTGAAGTTATGGGTAATGAAGGCCTCCCCACTCTCCCCAACCCCGCTGCTATGCCCATTGGAAGAAGATTTGTCTTCACATTGCAGCTTACCGTACGCCCTAGCAACGTCAACAACGCTGAAAGTTGCCGATTGTCCCCCATAGTACTCATGACGCAACGCCTCACGCAAGCAGTTGATGTAGGATTCGTCGGTAAGTCCATTAGTCACATGGGCTCGAATTTTCATTTTGTCCTTGTAGAAAAGCCTCTCGAAGAGGTCTCCCCTTGAAGTATCTTGCTGCTCGTCAGAGGATTGGGGAGACTTGGAGCTGGCAAAAGCGCTGTTCCGTTGAGAGTTAGTACGAGTTGGATCCTCTAAAGGAGAGCCGTTTAACGCCGCTGAGTACGCTTGGGCTGCGACGCCGGAATCATCCAGCATAGAAAGCTGCACAAGTGATTCGTAAAGCATCACAGTCTCATCTATCTTTTTTTGGCGTGCTGTCGGCATGTGAGATATGCTATTTAAACCGCGATGGGCTGGCGGTGACGAGTATTTCTCACTACGGCCCTGAATTCCATCCTTATCCTTCTTATTATCAGGAGATTCGTTGCGTTTTGTGCCGTTCCGCGACGACCGCTGCGTCTCTTGAATCTCAATGGAATGATCTCTTTGGTGATAAAACTTAGGGAAGTCTCCTACGATCTGCTTTCTAGGAAAATGCTTCCGTAAAATAGATTGACCTGATCGCAGACTGCTCGCGTACCTCTCCGCATAGCTGCTACCATGGGTGTCTTCAACACCACTTCGTTGTATGAAAATCGAAGAGTCAGTGCTTGTCCAGTGAGCATGTTGAGCAGGACCATTATCTCTGTGGCCTTCCTGGCCCTTTACATTTCTACCATCCCCGCTAGAAATCGGACGTGGTTCTGTGAAAATAGTGCCAAGTTTTCCTTCATTAAGGTTTGCCTTCGATATGGCGTTGGCACGTTCTTGTAATGAATTAACAGAGAAAATTGGGAAACTGTCTGCCAATAGTGTCGTTGCCGTGGTGTTATTTTTTGAAATTGCATTGGCAGTTACTGTATGAAGTTTATGCAGTTTCTGGTGAAGCTCATAAACCTCTTCAAGTAACTTATTTTCCTTTTGACATGCATACTGGCTATTAGAACGCGATTTTCCATCCGCCGTCACGTCAGGCTGGTCTCGATATTTGGTCGAATTGTCACGTCTTTGATTATTGAATACGTTTTCACCGCCTTTTAACATGCTCCGAGTATTTTTGTTGTGAATGCTCGAATTGTAAGTTTTGGCCTTGGTGCCCACGGCGCGATGGGTATTCCTACGCGGATGAAAATTCATCCTGTTAGAATGTATACGAGAATTTTGGATAATTTGCTTACGAAGTTTTGCATATTTTGCCTTGTCATCTTGGTCTTGAAGAGAGGGCCTCATGGCATTCGTCGCACGCTGCCGCACTGTCAAGGGTCGAGTGGGGGTAGGGTGGGGCGAAGCACCCTTCTTTTCTCCCCCTTTCTTAAGGGAGCCACACTTTCCCTCACCCCCTTTCAATTCCTCGCGTGTTTTACTTATCTGTGTACGCGGGCGATGAAGCGGATGTCTACTGGGAAATCGTACGCTTGCTGGACGTGTTGAGTGGTTCAACCGTAGGGACGACTTCTCCCCTCCATTGGACTGCTCCCCCTTGATTGTAATAGCCATCGCATCAGGTGGAGAGCAGTCAATATGGCTACTAACAGATTTATCAACGTGCATCTTATCATTCGATAGGTCATCAATTTGAACCCCTTTTCCAGGTATGGATGACTTCCTCTTCTCACTGAATGATAAAGATCCTGTTGAGTGCAGCTTCACAGCTCTACCAATGTGCTCTTTCGAATTACTCTGCGGCAAAGAATTTCGACCGTCCTCGTGTAAACTTTCTTGGTGGCAAGACGAGTTGTTTGTCAGCTTTGATTGCAGCATGAGGGAATTTTCTATCCCATCAGCTAAAATGGCAATTTCATCCCCCTTGTCGACATCTTCCAAAAGAGTAGTCTGAGATGTCGACTGCAACCGTGGGAAGAGTGGCAACATTTTTAACTCAGGTTCCAGTGGCAATGCATTTTCATTCTTTGAGCCATTTTCCTCATATTCGGCATTTTTCGACACCCTATTTGGAAAAGATGTAGTACCCTTTCCGCCTACTAGAAGGGCCATCAACGAAGTTTTTGCAGATGTTAAGTGCGACAACTGGTCCTGGTGCTCCTCTCGATGTTCCTGGGGCGTGCCCATATCCAGTGCGTCCTCTAATTCATTGCGCTTGTCCGCATCCCCAGAACCAGAATCCAACTTGAGAGATAATGAGCAAGAGGTGCTTAGAGTCTCCTTCGCCACAACTTCAACACCATGTGACTCCACGATATCCCTAGGAATGGTCTTCTCACAAGTCTCTGCAACACCATGGCCCTTCTCCTCACTGGGCTTTGCTGGGGCTTCTATTGGTCTAAGCTCCTCAAGTTGTTTCTTAGCCCTACTACTTCCTCTGTCTTTTTCTTTCTTGTCACATGCAGAATTTGCAACCCTTGTCTCACTAATATTAGTGATGGAGTCTTTCATACTCTCCGTACTATGGGGCTGACGAAGCCGATTGAAAGCCACAACTCCCTCACTACGGCAGCAGAACCAACGTGATAGAAGGCCACCCAGACCCTTCGAGGTGCGAGTCGATCTGGCAGGATGACCCCGTTCAGCCACATCGACCGAATCAGTCATGGCTCCGGGAGTACCTTCGGTGGTTGAGCTACAAACATCTGCACCTAGAGGCGCCACGCCCTGTTTTGTCTTCCCTCGGTCCATTTTCATTTGAGAAAGCAACATATCCTCTGCAGGGTTGCGAAGTGGGGGTGACTTTGGCTGCATTCGTCTAGATTCGTCCATCCCCAACCCCTCCCCTGCACCACGCGTACTTCTTACGGCGTCGATCTGACCACTATCGCCTCGCCTTGTGTTGAAATGCATTGAGACCATTTGCATTCCGTCCTTTGTGGCCCTATCTAAAGTTACAGTTTGCGGAGGGTACCGCGATACCGACGTTTGATTCCCAAATGCATTTTCGCGAGGGCCAAGGTCGCCGCTGCTGCGAGCACACACCAGGGAGGAAGATCGACCCGGATGGTTTCCATGGATCACAGAACAAGAACCTGAGCGAGGTCGAGATGACGCCGCGCTGCCACCTTCGCTGCGCCTAAATGGTAGTGCGGGCACTGGTGAATCAGCGGCACGTCTGTTCTCGGTGTTGGCCACACCCCCTACCTCGCTTTTCACACTCTCGGGCAAAAGCTCTCTAGAGTTTACAGAACGTCCACCTTCAGCCCCCCCTCCCGCGTCCGATTCGTAGACAACCCCACTCACCCGCGGCACCAACGGAGAGGGTCCCGAAGAGGGAGCTGAGGGGGGATCGACAGCATCCCGAGCCCGCTCCGCGGCGTTCGCTTCGCGGCCTAAACGCAGCGTTCCCCCGTGGGATGCCGACGTCGTGGTGGCGTGGGGGGGTGGCCTCGACCCCACCTCAGGCGGTGGAGTTTTCCGAGGTAAAACTTTCGCCGTCGCCGGAGCGTCGCCGCGGGGGGTGGAGGCCGTTTCGGGCGCAGGCGTTGGAGAGGGGGCCACCCGGGAAGGGGCCTCCGCCTCACCATCTCTCATAAGCGGAGGTGGGGAAGACCCCGGGGCTGCATGCGGGGTATCTGGCGTGAGAGGGGGATGAGGATGGCTGAGGAGCGCCTCATGCCCCCCCTCAGCGGCATCTCGGGAGGGCTTCAAAGCCGCCCACATGGGCATGTTTAGGGAATTAGTTCCAAGCTCCCCATTGGTTAGGTTCGACGAACTACCGCGCTCAGAGGAAGACAACGAATGCTCTCTTGAGCCACCAGTAGATTGAATAGAGAACCTAATCGAACTTCCCTCACGTGTTGTGCTCATTCAGAACCCCACAATTAAGGGGCAACAAGTTGTGTCTATCCGACCCAATCAAAAGCAATGCAATATTCGTCTGGGCTACACACCTTTGCCGCTATCACCTGGAATCTAATATTCTACAAGATGAAAAAATATAATGCAAATGTACAAAAATAAAAATCACGATTGCGGAGTTTATATAAAAAGAACACTTAACCCTTTTGAATACCTTTGAATAATGTTGTATAAATAAGAATGCGTATGTTCGTTCGACTTTTTGATTGCAACATGAAACCCAGATGAAGCAGAGCTAATCAATGAATCGCTTCCAATACTAACAATATTAAACAAAAGACAAGGCTGTAAAAAAAAAAAGATAATGAAGAAAGGAAAACATCAACGGGAAGGAAAAAGGCTCGGCTGCACGAAAAATCTACCTGCATGCTGATCAACACCCTCCACACTTTCCTAGTAAAGAAACAAGCATAAGTACTTAAAGTTGAAGATAAGTAGAAGATAAAGCAATATTTTTCTGTTAAATTATCCCTTTAACTATTAACAAAAAATGTTGATATATTTTATAAAACAAACAACGGTAAAAATCATATAATGTGCTAGTACACAGAATGAACACATATATGCCTTTCTAGTAGAAGTTCCATTTTTGTTATGCGCAACGAAAATAATAGTGAGTTATACTATTAATAAAAAATTAAATATTAAGAAATATAATAATCCCTAGCGTTGCTGCAGGTATTATTCTATCCCTCTATGTATCCGCGCTGTGTTATTAAAATTTTTCCCATCGGATAACGTGATCAAAGGCAAAGCGTGGTGACCAGGCCAACTTCTGCTTCTTACTGGGGGCTGCCTCACCTCCACTTTCGCTTGATTCCTCCACGGGGGGCGGTGCTGCGTAGCCAACACTCACGATCACAGGAACGGTGTATCGACCGGACAGTCCCACTACTTTTTTCACCGCCTCCTCATCCATTCCCTCCATTATGCACGTATTCAACCCTGCGGCTGTGCATAAATGCACGAAAGTCGTCACGGGAATCATCGTTTGCTTCCACGCGTAGCTCTTCATGGAAACGGGCACTGAAAGAAGTGGGGTGCCGGTGAACTTGCTGTAGCAACTCGACAGCACCGACTTGGTGAGGGCCATGGCTTGAAGTGGGCCACCGTGAAGGAAGTAATACACATTACGAAGGAAAAGAGGTGCATAAGCCTCCGTGAGGTAGCCGTTCTCCAGGCCCATTTCAAGAACCTGAGGAGCGTTACGCTCGGCCTCCATGTCACCCACAAAGACGATCGACAGAGGCGCTTTCTGAATCTGCGGCTGTCCGAGCGCTGCCGTGCACAGGGCCTTCCTTCTCTCAGCATCCTGAACCACAATCGCATGCCAAGGCTGGAGGTTAAACCCCGTTGGGGCGCGCATCGTCGTGTTGAGAAGCCGCCGGATGAGGTTCTCATCTACCGAGCGGGTTTCGTCAAAATTCCGACAAGTCCATCTGTTTATAATCACAGAGTCAACGGTGCTCAGCACATTTTTATCGAAGTGGTGAAGCCCGGGTCCTTCAGCTGGCAAAACTACACCCGTATGTGATACATCTGTGGCTTCAGTAGTCGACCCACTCTTTTCGTTGGGCGAACCGCCAGAGGAAGCCTTTCTTGACGGGGTCAGTGCGGCAGCAGAACCTTTCTTACTCATTGTGAAGCACGAAGTTAGTGATGCAGCAATACGTAGACTGCGTAAAATGGGGTTGTAAAGCATTAACAGAAAAATACGTTTTATAGCTTTAATGCTTTTCTGAGGAAAAAAGACAGAAATAAGAAGAAAATGAACTAATTGAACAAGGTCGGACCTTGATAGGGCACACTACAGATGGACCTGTTTGTGGTCAAAATGCATTCCCCAGAATAACACTTTTTCCCCACTTCTCTCAGAATTGATCAAAAAGTAGAAACTCTCTACATTGCGTTCGTCCTTATTTACATTGTGCCAAAAGGGACGCTACACTGTGTGAAAAGATGCAACACACCTGGGCAGAGACGCACTCCTCCCACCACTCAAAACCACCGACGCATGCGTGCGCACACGATCGCTTTCCTCTAAGCTATGAGCTACATCATCGGTCTTACCCCTTTGTGCTCACTCGCAGAAGCGCAGAAGCCGCCACGGTATCGCCCCTCTCTCCTGCCAGGAGTAGAGCAGAGCGGCCCTGCTCATCCACCAGATTCAGGTACGCCACCCAATCTGAGATTAGGACGCAATTACTCCGTCGATACTCAAGATCGGCGCCTTTGTTGGCCGCACCTTTGTTGGCCAATGATCCTGGGGGCATGTACCGTGAAGGGCCATAATTAAAGAAGGGTGATTGTTCTAAGAATTGCTTAACCTGGGAAGTTATGGTAGCCTCACGGCGATTCCACCCTCCTTGGTTCCTTCCTTCGAGAGCTTCTGGGAAAGATGAGAGCGGAGGAGTTGGGAATCCCTCTAATGGGTGAGGTATGCAAGAACGAACTGTACGCGCTACTGCCTCGATCACCGCCTCGATCGCGGCACGGGTATCTCCGGTCCCCCATTCGCCCCCACCCTCCTCCCGACCTCCACTTGGATCACGAGAAGACTGCATGATGCACGGATCGAGGTACCCATAGCAGTTTCCAGAGACACAGTCGTGAAGGGGGGTGTTGCCGTGTGCATCGACCACGAAAACGGATTCCGGATCCACCTCAAGCAACGCATGGACCGCTTCGACAAAATGTGCCCGACAAGCCGCATGTAGTGGTCGCCGGCCTTCACAATCGCTCACACGGCACATGGCCTGGGCAAGCTCTCGGTCAAAGACCCTACACCCCCCATTGTTATTCCTTAAATCGTACTTTCCGGCGCCACTCGAACCAGCATCAGAGGACGGTAGAGCCAAAATGCGAAGCAAGGTTGGCAGCACAGAAAGCTGTCGAGCTCGGTCGGCATGCGCACACAGGTAATGCAGGGGCGTGCGGAGCTGCGCATCCGTTATCAACAGGGCATCGTTCACGATAAGAGATGCATCTGGTGAGTACGAAATCTTAGGACCCTTACCGGTCGACGCTAGGCGTGCCATACTATGGTCAGCTGGCATCACGATGTCATCTCCACCACTCGCGTTGACGCCATGGGAATCGGAAACGAATGAGAAAAACCTATCGACACCATCATGAAACTTGTCTTGCTGATGATACTGTCTTCCAAAGCGCTGCAGCCGACGTGTTGACGCCGCATTTGTAGACGCGGTATCGCTGCCCGCGACATTAGTATCAGCAGAATAGGTGTTAGGTAGGGCCTCTGAGCTCAAATTTTTCCATTCCATCGAGGCCAAATCACTCGCTTGCCTCCGAAGGCTTGTCGTTGAGTTCAAATAAATTCCATTTGCGCGACTGTTATAATCCTTGTCGTAATCGCCAAATAAAAGTTTAAAAACCCTGGGTGGGAGGCCAAGCTGCGCGGCAATGTGAAATTGAGTCTGAAGCGTAATAAAACTCTGCATGCCAGGTTGCGCACCGTTCTTGAGCAACAAGGAAATTATCTCCAAAGTTGTTTCAAACTTCGATAAAGACCCCGACGCAGCGCCTTCCTTCCCAGTGCAGGGTTCACCCATCGTCGGCTCAACCAGCATCTGCGGCGGCTCCTCAAAATTGGCATCCTTCAGGGAAAGTAGTGCACGGAAAAGCGGAGTGCACTGCTCATCGTCTAGCTCATCAGGATCAGCGTAGCAATCGAGCATGAGCTGGACGTAAATCGGCTTGTTCTGCGCCACCGCCAGGTGCAAAAGCGAACCACCGGTGGGCAGCCCGCTCGGCCGACCAAGCGAGGCGCCGGCCTCGTAAAGCAGCACACGGACGATATCGGGGTGGCATTCGTGTTTAACCGCCATCTCCATCGCCGTTGCGGATTCAATGTCGTCGATGGCCTCGACATTCACGCAGGCATGCGTCTCGAAAGGAGGGACCGCGGCGGCGTGCAGACTGCGCAACTGGGAAACGCTCGGTGGGCGGTTGAGCACTGGGAGCGACGCCGAGGAGCCCGCGCTGCCCCCTTTAGAGTGCCCTCCCCCTAAAAAGGAGAGCCCCGGGCTTGACGGGGAGGCCCCCAGCGGTAGATGCCGCTGCGAGAACGAAGGCCGCCGCCGCGAACGAAACATGCCGCCCTCGTTGCGACCCTTCCCGCCAAACGCCCCGGGCAACAACGCGGGCTCCGAGAGCACCTCCAAGATCTTCGCGGAGTGCCGCACGAGCACGGCAACCGCCCTGGGATGGTTTTTCCGAACCGCCACGTGGAGCGGTGTGAGGCCGTTCTTGTCAGGCCTCCCCGCGCGCACGGCGGACCCCAGCTGAAGCAGCCACTTCATCGTCGTGACGTTTCCCGCCGCGGTGGCGTAGTAAAGGGGGGTCCGCCCGGCCATATCAACCGCATTCACGTCTATCGGGACCCCGCTGTTCGAAGATTGGATGTTGTTGACAAGCGGAGAGAGAAATAATTCCAACACACTGGTTTCCCCAGGTGGGCACCAAGCTGCCGCATAATGTAAGGCCGAGGCGCCTTGTGAGTCCCTTCGCATGAGGTCCACCCTGTACTCGACGACAAACTTACGGATCAGCTCTGGATGGTAGTTGAAAATGGCGTGCATGAGTGGTGTGGCACGTAAAGGGATCCGTGCAGCCACCAACGATGCGGTGCTATCGCTGTCTCTCGGAGTTTGAGCTTGTAAATTCCCTGTAGGAGACCACGAGGGGATGTCAGACGTCAACCCGCTGGTAATATCCCTCGAACCCCCCCCACTTCCACCTTCCTCTTCAAAGGTACTCAGTTGCTGATGGAAGTTCATGGCATGTCGTGCAACATCCTCGGACAAAGAGGATCGTGGGTGTAAGTTGACGTCCGCACCCGGGGTACCAGCAGGTGCTCGGCTCCTATGGGAACCGTGCGATCCTGCAGCCGGCGACAAAGCTCGTGACCCAGAACGGGGTGAATTTTTGGCCACCTTGCCTGAAAACAAGGTAGCGTTACCTCCCCCATTGCCACTCGCCTTGGCAGCATTGCGCTGTGATTGCCGTGAGGAGCCGCCAGCAGCCCCATCCCGTTCCTTTGATAGGGACAAGCCGTTTGTATTTGCTGCTGACGCGGTACTAGCACTTTGTCGGCCTTGTTCCTCCATCTCAACCGCGTAGGCAACGTAACGAAGCGGGTACTCCACCTCGGGAATGTGCCCATGAATATTGGCCCCGTAGTCCACAAGATTCTGGATTAGCTCGGCGGTCGGCCGGTCCGTGAAACTCCACATTCGCACCATCTCCTCCGAGTTGATTACGTGAACGACGTTACTGGAAGCCACGATGCTGCGCAGGTTATCACCACGATGCGACACTGCATTTCCTGAGAATGGAACAGCCGCTGGTGTATTGCTTCGTCCTTGCCGAGCTCCAGCTGTCGAATGGGTGGCACCTCGTGTGTTAGTCATGGCCACTGACATTGTAGAGAGTCGAGGTTGCTGAGATACGTTTGATCCAAGCGTAAATGGCGCGAGAATATAGTTTCTAACTGCACAGGGGGGCAGGGACGCTAGTTTTGCAACGTCATATGAACATGGGGAATCCTTAATCGCGTTGAGGGAATTACGCCCGGTGCCGTAGCGAATAAGCGACACGAGAGCCGACTCGCCGAATGCGTTTTCGATATCGATCTTCAAACCGCGACGTCGGACGAGGTAATCCAGCACCGGTCGGTGAGCAACGGAGTAGTGGATGAGGGTGTAGAGGCCATCCTCGGATAGCTGTGTGAGAGTCGCCCCGTCGGCCCCCCCAGCATCGAGCAGCGCCTCCACATGTGCGAGATCCCCAGTAGAACAAGCCCGCGCCAATTCGCTTTGAAACCCATTCACTAAGATCGTCCGCGCAGGATCAGACTCTGGCGTGGCCGCGCTCGAATCTGCGGTGCTGGTCTCGCCCACACTGTAGAAGGAGAGCAGCCGCGTAGCCATGGTATCACACTGGGCAGACGCGAGCTCCAATGCCGTCCTTGGAATGAAGGAACTGTCGTCGTGCGTCGTCGTCGTCTGGGCTGACGGTGGAGCCTCGTGAGCAGGATTTAAAGTACGGTTTTTTTTACCCGACCTCGTCGTCTCAGGTATCCCATTGAAGGGGTTATCAGCGGTCGTCTTAACCGAAAAATCGAGAAATGCGGTTGATCGCAGGGTTCTACTGTCCCCTTCATCGGTCTGGGTTCGCTTTATATCCACACTTGCAAAATGAGAGGCTAGGGTAGGAAATACGGGATGAGGCAGTAGCATCAAGAACGGATTCCACACCGTTCCATCATTTTCTACTTGTAAACGTGATGTGTGTGTGCGCATCATCGTGGAAGACATACTCAGAACTTTTGAGAGGGGTTGTCGAAAAGAGCGACCACTACTACTGCTCGGGCGAGAGGGTGGGGAAAGTTGGGGGCTATTTGAGGACTTGCTTTGTGTTTGCGGCCTAATATAGTCCTCTTCGTTATCAAGAGTGTGTCCTGCCTCAAGTTCCTGCTGTAGCGCCGTGAGGAGGCTGAACGGAAAAACTGGGCACATTTTGGCGGGCGCCGTTGCCTCCGATGAAGAGGCAGATTTCAGGTCGCTATCACTACCTGCGAGCGATAATGCCATCGGTACAGCACCTGTGAAATGGAGTAAACGAAACAGACTGACGTGATCCTTAAGGGATACCAAGTAATGCAGTACTGTGCCGTACTTTCTGGATTGAGTAAAAGACAGCCCTTGCGGCGTATTAGGGGTGTCCCTCGTATCCATGCCAACCAACCGCAGGCTTTTTTTGCGATCGGCTCCAGCGCTAAAGATGCCGTGCGACCGCTGCTGTTGCTGCTGCGTATGCTCCGTATCTGCTTTTTTGTGATCCCGGCTCCAGCTGTTATCCCTGCCGAGCTCACAGAATAAAGCGGGCGTAGAGTATGGCAACTCAATCAAATCATTTAGGGTCGCACCTTTTTCCATCAAGTACTGCACTATATTTAGTCGATTTTTGACGTCATCAACGGCAAGGGGCTTGTTATCGGCACCAATATTTTGCACTAACGATAAAGTTACCGCCACCAGGGGGCTCAATTTACAACCAAAGCTGAACGGTGTCAACTCTCGAGCACGGATAGGATCAGCACCGTGATCTACAACACGCTGAGCTTGCTCAAGATTCCCTGTCAGACAGGCAGCCATGAGCTGCTGGTTCCATGTATTATCAGCATCTTCCACAATTCTTCGTTGTTTTAATGGCATATCAAAGTCTACGATGCATAAATAAATAGTTATTTACGCAGGCACGTGTATATAGGAAGGTGTGTGTGCGTCAGAACTACTATATGTCTATTCTTCTCTCCTGTTGATATGTCTATACAGGTTTTATTTGTGAATATTTTGTGTATTACTAATGAGAGTGGATGGTTGGATGATAAGTGTAAAAAAAAAAAGTGTAACCAGCCCCGCTGCATGTCATTTCATTTTTTTTACAATTCAATTTGTATACTTGGATAGATAAGCACAGCAACACAATGGGTTAATCTAGTCCCAGTGATAATAAGTGATCTGGATCTCACTCTACCGCCCTTTCGCAACGTATTTCACTAATTATCATAATCGAACAACTCCTGCAAAAAAAAGGAATAGTAAAAACAGGAGTAATAGACTAATTTAAAAAAATTAAAAGGATAGTGATGAGCACTTTTGGTCTAAATGGATGACATCCAGACAGCTTTTACGCTCTCGTATTCCTTTCCTAACGTATCGATAGTGTGAGCTGATCGCATAATTCTCTATCTTTATGCAGAAATGTACAACGACCCCTCTAGAAGAGTCACGTTTACTTGAGAAAACAATATGAAATTATGAGCCCCCCATATTCTGCCGCATAGCATCACGAAGCTTGTAGAGGGCTGCAAGCTGTTCATCTGCAGCTTTGTTACCAGTGGAACGATGAGCTGGCGCATACGGATTGGATTGCGTTGAGCACCCAACGTAGGAAGAACCAAGGGAATCCGTGTTAGTCGGCATTATGTGAGAATTACCGCCTCCAATAAGAGGTGTTACAAATGAGAAAGAAGCACATGGAGCCTCTTCTTTGTTAACCAACGGAGGAGGACACGCCCCAGAAGGCTGGGACGACGAAGCCACTTGAGGATCAAGTGGTTGTAAATGAAAAGGCTTTGGGTTAGCATTGCTCAGAAAGGTCGGAGCAGTAGTGCGTGAAGAGCTGTTTCCGTCCGTGTTGCACGATTTTGGTGAAGTACGCAATATTTCTAAAGAAGACGGTGATGCTGATGAATTTGGAAGAAGGGCTCCATGCGAGGCTGCGGTGCTAGATCCTATCTGTTGAGACATTGCGTTTGATGTTGCAGGCATCATCCACATCGATAATGGCAAACCCGATACAGATGAGGAGGATGGTAAACCCGGTGAGCTACATGCCGTTGGTGCTACCGCAGGATTGGAGACGGCACCCAACGCAGACTGTGGAAACAATCTGGCACTGTTGTTGAGAGTACTGGACTTAGGCTGATCAAGCACAGCAATACTATCAAGGGATGTGCTATTCGCCTGGGTGATGCCGTTCAAAACGGATGTAGGTGCTGAGGACGGGTGTCTGACTTGGGCACTACTGCTGATGCTGCCGAGATGGTTCGAAAACGTGCCACCGGCAGCGTTATTGGTCGGATTAGGCACACCCTTCGGGGAAGGACCAACGCGGCTGCTTTCCACAGCCATCACAACTTGCTTCTTTCGAGTTTTGAACCATTGCTCAAAGTCCCGAGCCACCTGTTCCTGTGAGTGCTTCATGAAAGCGTGCATACCATCGATGGTTTCCCTTTGCTGTCGGAGCTCTGCCACAAGAGTGTTATAGCGTTCTCGGGTGGAACTGAGCTGATCCATTAAATTCTGCTCCTCAGGGTCTACGAGCTCGACACCATCGACTGCACGCTCCGCACGTAGCCTCTGGATTTGCTGCTTGAGACTCTTCATAGTATCCACGCTCTGATTGAGCTGCTGAGCCGTCTCTTTGCACACGACATAGGCAGCTTTAAGATCTTGCTTTGTTGCCTCAATCTTCACGTAATTCTGGTAAGAGCCCTTGAACGTCTCAAAAGCCGCTGCACGGTCTTCCACTAGCTGAGCATCAGAGAGGGCGGAGATATCCTGGGGTTGTTGCTGCTTTCTCCTTAAGTATTCCTCCGCGGCAGCTGCATCTGTGGAGTTAATTTTACCTTGTTGAGCAAGATCCGATAAACGGCCAAAAGCGGGCGACAGATCTGCGCCCTTAGCAGAAGAAGCGGACTGTTGGGGTGGGTCTTCGCGATTCGGCCTTATGTCGTTGCAAGAGTAGTCACCTTCCTCCGCGGACCTCCTCCTAGCATCGTTAATCAGAGCATTTGCATCGTGGTGTCTGTCGACGTCGCTGAAGGTCTGCGTAGCAGCGTTGAATCGCGTGCCCTGGGTTCGATGAAGAATATCTAACATAGTGTTTATCTCGTTTTCCTTCTGCTTCAGGCTGATCTGTAATCTCTCAATCTGTTCCTCGTACGCCTTTGCGGATGTGCCCGAAGCCCCAACAGACTCAGCCCCCCTACTCTCTCGATTGCCGCTTTGGCGAAAGTAGGGGCTGCCGTTCGCTTCAGAACCCAGCGGTGAACTTGGCCCTTCCTCCAACCCACTGCTAACACCGCCGGATGTCCCCAGAATCTTTCGTTTCATGAGATCAAAACAGTAGTAAATGCGTAGCATCTCCCCTTCGAATCCCTCAATACGACTGCCGCCACCAATGTACGCCTCTACCATGTTCCTGCACAATATTTTTTCCTCTTCAGACAGCTCGCGGTCAGTTCCACCCTTTCCATCACTATTCTTTTCATAAAAAGCAAGCTGATCCTTTAACTGTGCCACCTCCGCTTTAAGCTTCTTTACAAGTAAAACTGGATCGGTTTCCTCATTAATGCGTGCATCCTGCTTAATCAAAGCGACGCGCTGCGCGAAGCTGCATGTGCTGATTGTTTCCGGCAATGCTGCCTTAGATAAGTGTGCAGTGGCTAACATGCTGGTACGGCAATTCCCACCAAGACTATCTCGCAGTACCATAGTCAGAAAGGAGTTTCTAAAAGGAACGTGATCACGCTTGCCTTTGGCTTGCTCACTCAGAGCGACGATCACGTGTTCAAGGTAATGAAGCGATAGATTGATATATTTTGCCTCGGATAGAATTGTACCGCCGACGCCGGATTTGCTAACACGCTCGCTTCCAGCTAAATCAACCAGGTTGAGTTTGGAGCGACGCACCACCGAGGTGCCCGCCACGTGGGCTTCCAAGGAAATCGTAAAAACGCAATGTGAACGAGAGGACGTCCGGTTCATCGGCGTTTCGCAGTACAGTCGGTTGGTATCGCCTAAAAATAGCAAATTCAACGCGTCGGTAAGAGTTGGGGCGGCATGCTGCTGCAGGCCTCGCAGGACCACCACCAGATCATCCTCGGGGCCCGTGGTGGTCTCGTGAAGCGTCACATTCGGGAGATCCTCCAGAGTTTTCGCGTCCTTCCCATGATTCAGCAAGTCCTGCCCCTTGTCGTTGTAAATTTGCAGGTAGGAAACGCTCACATTCCAAAAACACTCCTGCTGCCGCTTCGCGACCCCGTCGTAAATCAAACCCAGTGCCCGTGGAATAATACCGCGTTCGTCGTAGCTTTCCGTGCCGCCGGTGATGGAGTAGGTCTTACCACTTCCAGTTTGGCCATACGCAAATATGGTGCTATTGTACCCGTCGAGCACCGACAAGACGCAGTCCTTCGCCACAACATTAAAAACATCTTCCTGCGTTGACTGGGGCTCGAAAACATGCCGAAATTGAAAGCTGAAGTCCTCTAGTGAGTTGTTAACGATGTCGGCCTCGTTGCGTCGATCGACGTGGAACATCAACTTAGTGCGGCCACTGAAGGATGGTTCAAGAATGTAGCTGCAGGGAGCATTCTCGCGTGAGGAAGTACCGAGTATGCTGCTATGTTGAACAGATATCTGTGGCCGAAGGCGTAAGTAAACGCGAATGGCTTCAGGACAACCCATTACTTACTACTTGCTATGAAAATTGGTTCGCATACATACACAAAAGCATAAAATATAAATGCAGTTTGACACTTTTGTTAGCTTATTCAAGGGATTTTTGTGGAGATTGAAGTCAGGGAAAAATCAACTTGCTAATCAAAAACAAAAAAAAGGGATATCTTAACTCCAATATTATGCTTAACCGTAACAAAAGCATTATCCACCTATTTTTCTTTAGAAAGTCACCTTTTATTCGTTTCATTACGAACATCCAACACAACGAAAAAGAACTTATTTGATACTCATGCCACATATATATATGCATGTGTTGCAGACTAACAATGTGCTACATAGCTTTTCCATGCTCTCGACACCATTCCTTCATAAAGGGGAACACATGGGGGCAAATACATGCGCCCACCGTTCAGTGATTAAAGCTCTCCAACTCACAAGTAAGCGTTGTTGAGGAGGAACCCATATCTTTCAATCAACGAAGCAGCCGTCCGTCCCCGAATAACATTATTTGATGTCGGCAGAGCCGTTGTATCCGACACCACAGACATCTCTTGCTCTTTGTTCGCCTCATCGGACTTATCCGCCTTACTCTTGGGGCTACTCCAGGAGGCCGGTTCGCCGTCGCTGTTATTACACCAAAAGGTCTCTGGCGTGTATCGCATCCACCAACACAAGAACTGACGCAGCCATACAAGAAGCAAACGCGCACGCACCACCCCCGCAGCGTCGTCCATGTCATTTCCCCCACCTGGAGTCCCGGATGTGGCATCGTCCCCCTTCCGCTCTTTTCCGCGGTCCTCCTCACCAGAAGTCGCAGGCTCGGCGTTGGCTATACTATCCCTAACCTCACTAGGAATCACCAAGATCGCTCGCATGTATTCTTCATGGAGGACGGCATGGGGGGCGGAACCACTGGGGTTTCCCAGGGCGGCCCCTCCCTGCGTCGTCGGCATCCCCAAAACGGTGGCCAAGTGCGGGAAGTACGTCGTGACCGCATCGACATCCTCCGGCCGAACGTTGAGCCCGGTTTTCAAGGTTTTGCTGCGTGTTGCGCTTCTATGGGCATCGTCCCCTTTCTTGTGCTCTTTAGAACTGTCGCCATCATTGCTGCTACTTTTGTGCTTCCGTGCGACTTCAAGCCCCCTATACTTTCTTAATCTCTTGCTAAAATAATGAAGTCCGGTCAAGGCGATCAAGAGGGTTGCCTCTATTAACGTCGGGAGAATGCCCTCAACCTCCTGTAGCAAAGCATAAGACGAAGATGGTGATGTAGGTGGTAATTTGGCACTCGATGGGATGGGAAATGGGGATGAGGCTGGCTGTGAGGCGGAAGAACCGGGCATCGAAGAAGAAGAGCCGTCAACGCCGCCGACCCCTGCCTCCTGATGACGATCCGTCTCCTTAGCATTCGATTCCATGCGACCTGGTGCGAGTGAATGCTGCACGTGATAAGGGGAGTCGGCATGATAGTTGGAGTACCCTGCCGCCTCCTCGTCCGTCAAGGCCTCTGCGTTTGAGTTTTGGATGGTATCATGAACAATGAATAAGTAGAAAAGCAATTGGAAGCACATGACATGCATGCGAATCGCATCGTCGTCACCACCGCTGGGAAGCTCGTGTTGCCCGAAACTATCCTTCGCACTTGGGTCTGCAGTTTCGTTCTTAGCCGCACTCGCCTCTGATGCTTTTCTGGCGGATGAAAAATGTGCTTTTTGGGCTTCCCAGGCGCATTCATAGGCTAGCTTTAAGACCTCATCTAGAAGGATGCTCCAAACGTGTAATGCCGCGTGTGCATGCTCTACTGCAAAGATCGTGCGTTCAGCGATTACGTCATTGCTCAAGAGAGACCGCTGAATGGACTCGATAGTACCTGGACAATTAGTTGAGTCTACGGGTGTGCAGTGCATCCTCGCATGCTTGGGTGACGGTGGCGATGTGCTCTCAACTGACGCAGAAGGAGATGAAGACGCGGAATTATCGCTCGTGCGTTTCATAGCAGCCACAACTTCCGTAGGGAGAAACGTCTCCACATTGAGCATATCCTTCCATCTTTTTTCTTCCTCCTCCGATAAAGTGACAAACACTCGCCCCTCACGGACAACCTGCCGTGAAAGCCACGTAGCAGATGCTGGGGGTAGCACGCAGGTATCCCCACCACCTTGCTCGCCATCCACTTCACGTGATGCGCTAGGTTCCTGCGGAGATGCCGCTTTCGCTCGTTTTTTCCCACCCTGAGGTGGGGACGCGAAGGCCTTCACCAGAGATGCCGGACCAGCCGCAATCGCTGGTGGGGGCACCCACACATACGCCTTGGATCCGCTCCGCTCCATCTGAAAGGGTTCCGTCCGCCACTCCAACATATTATCACCCTGCAACAGTGAGTACAAGCGCCAACGGTAATACAGCACCCGTGGATCATTCCAGGGGGCGCGTAAAAAATCAAAGTGAGGATTGCTGCGCTCGCGGAAGAGAAGCTCCTCTTCAAAGGTCGGACCCCCTTGAAAGACGAAATTGGCAATGAGATCAAGGAAGCTGGTGGTCGAAACGGGCAGATCTGTCGGAACACGAAGTAATGGCGCGCCGGAAGCAATCGGAAAGATGGGCGACGAATGAGCTGCCGCGGGAGCGTTCCTCATCATCGATGAATCCACGCCACGTCGTGAGAAATTCCCATCTCGCTCACGTTTAGATGGATACGACGAGCTACCAGATGTTGCCAAAATCGCTCCGGTTGAGGCCGGTATCCGCTCAGTAGTCTTTACAGCCTTTGGACCATGCATCGTACTTGCACTCTGATCCTTCTGCAAAGACGGATCCGAATCGGAGTACCGGAACGAATGTTTTCGCTGTTGAGATGATGATTGACTATGGGGATAATGCGTCGCTGGAGGTAGGGGCAGTAGTGATGACGTGGAGGTTGCGGGAGGTGCCAGGATGCTATCTATGCCTCGCGTGGGGCCAATGGGAGCTGCATCACGCTTCGATGGGGAAGCGGGATAGTAGGCCTGATCCTGCCCCCGCTCCGTCGTTGAAAGAACTTCAACACCACCGGTTTCGCAAAAATACGCATCCGTCTCGGTTCCAGATCCCATCAAAGCCCCAGAAGGAACCCCCTCGTCGTATGTTTGCCATTCGTGGGCAGGATAGGCCTCGGTCCCCTCATACGCATAATGCTGATCATGATGATACAATCCATTATCCTCGCCATAGAAGTTCGCTCCTTGGTGTGGATAAGAGTCCTGAGATGCGCCTGGATGTCCACCGCCTTGCCAAGGTCGGGAGGGTGGGGGACAACGAGCGTAATAGGAAGCATGGGTGTCAGGCCGGTAGCCATGTGGTTCACCGTGTTGCGGCACCATCGCTTGATTTCTCGTATGGATTGGCATCTGTGTTGGGTCGTTGTAGGCCACATAATCATTGCTCGTTTGTGGGGCCATCGTGGGATCAAAGCCCTGATTGTATCCACCTGGACGATAAGTATTCTCGGCACGATGGACGGGCTCTATTGTGGTTGGCGCATCCCTAAACCCACCCGTTTGAGGGTACCGTTTAGTGTGCAAGGGCTCCGGTGGTACTTTTCGCTGATTATTCATGACGCACTCAAGGTAGGATAATAACAGCAGAGAACAAAAAAAAAGTAATAAACAATGATGCAATTGCCAGCGTTGGTGAAAGAAAAAGGGCAAATTAGCATAAAAAAGAGAAATAGTGGGAGCAAATAAACCTTTGACGCCGTATCACACCTCCTTTGATTGGTTCGTCGGGTTTTCTTTTTTGCATTTGATGATATTGATATTTTTTAAAGCAGAAAAGTGATCAAGAGTGTTGTTGGAACGAGGGAAACAAATAAAAGTAATCCGATAAATCATCATACTATGGCAAATCCGAGGAGATCCACACCACAAAAAATGGTTATTCAAATATTGGTGAGAATAATCATTAACAGAGGGAAAAGTATATATATATATAATTTGGCTATTCCCTTATAGCCTCAGTTTGACTTGGATCCCTTTCGGGTGAGCTGCACATGTCACCTCTCACCCTTAAATTTCCTAAAGGTGCAATGAGAGAACATCCTGTCTATTAAAATCGACACGAGTTAGTAGCACATTTTTCTTTTCCTCCGCCGTCAAAGCCTGGTTGTGCATCTCTTCGAGCGCGTCTCGCGGAGAATCGCAGAGGAGGAGGGTGGAAGTCAAACTCAGAGGCGCGAACACGTCGCGTAGCGAGACCTCATGCGCCCTTGAGGTAAAGAACGAGCGCAACGCCCGCACATCTTTATCGAGCTGCAAAGCCCCAAAGCTGTTGAACTGCTTCCGCGATAGAACAAATCGGATGAAGTTCACGGTATACGTCGTGACCATCACGAGAAGGGAGTCAAACAAGACCGGGTCGAGATGATCGGCGACGTAGTCAAGCATCGAGGTCCACCCCTCGAGGCACGCCTGCACCCACGGATCCTTCAGCTCGTACTGGTAAAACGTCATCTCCGAGATGTGGTAAGACTGCGCGGCGAACCGCTCGATGTGGGTGGGCGCCATCACCGCCTGCCAACACGCCCGCGCGTCCTTCTCGAGCCAATCCCGCCGAACCCACCGCTCCTGGAGCTCCCCGGCGAGGAGGTCGAGATCCTGCGCGAGCTCGCGGAAACGGAGCCCATCGCGGGCGTCGAAACCGCCCT